AGTGAGTTCCAGGAAAGGCACAAAGCTACACAGAGAAACCCTGTCTCAAAAAAACAAAAAACAAAAAACAAAAAAAAGAAATACTTAGAATATACAAATTGATAGAGACAGAAAGATTAGATGTTTTCTCAAGATGGAGAAGAAAGGAATATAGAGCAATGATTTCCTAAGTACAGAGTTTCTGTTTTGTGCGATGGAAAAACCCCACAAACGGACAGTAGTATCAGGACATAATATCATGAATGTAATAAATCAATACAATTAATGTAATTAATGATTATCATACATATAATTATTGAATGAATACTGTGAATGTAATCAATAAATACCACAAATATAATTAATATCATGAGTGTAATAATTAATACCTTGAATGTAATTCATGCCACTGAATTGTGAACTTAAAAATGGTTACAATTGCAAATATTAAGTTCATTTTAAAAAAAGGGAAAAAAAGAAAAAAATAATGAGGAATGTAAAAAAAAAGAAAAAAGAATAAGTAAATAAATATACATCCATTAAAAAAAAAAAGAGTTCCATTTAGAGAAGTGGCTGCATGCCACAACATTCCTACAGGTGGATGGCAGGCGTCACTAACTGGTCACCACACTGCTACCGAAGCCCGTACGCAGCCCAAGAGTCCTCCTGTTCTTGGGAGCTGGCATGAGATGAGAGGCATTGGCCATCCCTTTGGGACTGGTTAGCGGCAGCTGACGTGTCCGGGTCAGAGACACCTCTTCCTGCTCTACAGCCAATCATTCAGAGAGCCCTGCCTCAGGAGCACCCCAGCACAGAGCAGGCAAGTGTCCCTGGGACGACCACCCACCCACTCGGTGTTCCTGGTGCTTCTGGATCCGACTACGTCCTCTGTTATCCCCAGTGCGCCGCAGGGACTTGCTAAAACGCCCACTCCTTATTCTCTTCCAGAGCCTATCAGAGAGCACCAGACACCTCGGGGCTTTGGTCCTTGGGGAACAACTCTTCCTTCACCCCTACTTGTTCCTTCTGGCCAGACCAGGGGACAACTCAGAAGGACCCTGAACCTCTGCTCTGTCACGTCTTTACTTGTACCGATCCTTCGGCTAAGCACACCCTTCGGCTTGGTCTTCCCAACACCTGCCGATCCTCCAACCCTTCAGTGCCCCGCTCCCCGCGCCTGACGCCGTGCTGGGCACCCCACAGGCCACCCTGACCCTCTTTGTCTCAGCTGAGTTTCTGCTCATACTTTGAAACGAGCACACGGCACACCAGGCTCCTGAGGGGTTTAGCCCCACCAGACTGCAGTCTCCTCCGGAGCTGTATCATTGTCTCTTGAACTCAGTATCACCTCAGCTGCTGGGACCGGCCGTGGAAGGGCTGGCCCTGGGCCTTGACCCCTCCCCTCCCAGCCTGCTCCCCATGCATCTCAAGGCTAGGGTAGCTCATGGGGCAGTGGTCCGAAGCGCTCCTGCCAGGGCCCTGCCAGCTTCCCCACGGGCACCCCACCGGCTGAACGCCTGGCTCACCTGCCGTACCACAAAGCTCCACCGTCAAGGACTCCTCAAAGCTCTTCTTGCCGAGAGGGTCGCTGGGAGAGGCAGAGAGGACAGAAAGGGAAGAGGCTGGTCAGTAGGAGGCTTCCACGGCCCCAGACTTTTGAGGAGAGCACACAGGACACTGTGGCAGGCCTTGCTTGGTTCTGCTGTGGAAAGGGGCCTAGAGAGAGCTTGCTGAGGGGCCCCCCGCCTGGCTGCTAAACTCAAGCCGCACAGTTTGGGAAGGCAGGGGCAAAGATGGATGTAGGGCAACTCAGGCCCAGAGAGAGAAGGAACGAGCTTCTAGTCCCACAGCACTGTCAGCCTCCGGTCCCCAGCCCAAAGAACACACTTCAGGGTCCTGGAGATGACAGCTTCTGAAATGGCTTGACCCTCCATCTTTCCCCTCAGGTTGCAGGGGCTACCTCTTTAAAAACACACTCCCCCTTTGGAGGGAGTCTGGATCCTGAGGGCTCGAGACGGCAATCAGGGCAGGGCCTGAGGACAGGGCTGGGGCCTCAGGGGCTGGTGACCTCCCACCCAAATTGCACAAATCTTAATCTCGTGGCATAATATACCAATAACTTCTGAAAAAAGTCTACCTTTGTGACAAGGCCAGCATGAGGCACCTGGGGGAGTCTGAAAAGAGAAGAAAAAGAAGGGAAGAAAAGAAAAAAAAGAAAATAAGATTCCCCATATACACCATCACATACACTCTCCCCTTGGGGGAGTCCTCACATTTTCAGGGGCACCGTGCACAGCTGCCCGTTAATACGACGCGTGGCCTTGGTCATCTAGGGGAACGCTCAGGCACAATTCAAATACACATGGCATTGCTGGGTCCCCGTGAGGCAACCCCTGCTGGCCAGAGAGTGCAGCACACGGCCAGGCCTTCTGAGCCCTAGGCCCCAGGGTCCAGCTGGGATTCTAGATGGTTCTAGAGAGGGGTCCTTCACTAAACAGCTCTGAGCCTCCGGCCTGAAGTCTCTGTTGGTTCTTTTATTTGGGACAGATCTCCATATGTTGCCCAGGCTGGCTTCAAACTCGATCTTCCTGCCCCTGCCTAAGTACCGTGCTTATCCCCATACCTAGCTTTGTTCACTTTTTTTTTATTGACCTTCTCCCCTCTCCCCATGGAGGCAGGACTCTTATTCTCTGTTCATTAAGCAGTGCGTTTGGTATGCATGATGAAAATCTCCAAGCGCAGGTGTTTTCCTGCCCAGTACCCCATTGTACAGAAAGGGCAGCGGACGGCCAGATGGAAACTCATTCAGCACACACAATGGCGGACTTGAATGCCGAGCTCCCAGCTCGCAGTGGGGATGCTATGCCCACCCCACCCTCTCGCGTGGACCACAGACTACCTCTGGAAGGGGGCCGTGGGCAGCTAGGGTCCTCATCTGTGTCTCCACATCCACTCTCACAGGGGCTTTCCAGGGCTGGGATCTGGGATCCCTGGGGGAGCTGCTGCTGGTCTTGACGACTGTCTGTGAGGCTGACCAGTTCCTCTTCCAGGCGGTGGGTCTCTGTAGCCAGGCACATGGAGGGCAGAGCACCTAGGGGCTCATCGGTGAATGTCAGCCAGGGGCCCAGCTCCGGATTCAGTCTCCTGGAACGCCGCACCGGGCACACAGAGCTGTCCAGCTTCCTCCCTAGTTTGGTCCATGGCAGGCTACGGCCTGGTCTCTTCCTGCCCCACTCCTCTTCCTCCTCCTCTTTCTCTTCTTCCTCCTCCTCTTCCTCTTCTTCCTCCTCTTCCTCATGCTTTTGCCTGGCAGGTTGACTGACATCCCGCTTCACCTCCAGCCTCAGAGGGCGCAGGCTGGGTCTAGGCCCAGTGCTCTTGGAGGAAGCAGTGATTGTCACCTCTTCTGCCATGGCAGAGTGGGCAGGGGAGGTCTGACTGTCTTTGGGGGGCCTGGGCCTGGACTGGGGTGTGAGGGAAGCATAGACAGGTGTGGCCAGGCGGTAGGGCTTGCTGACGTCACAGAGGACGTCTTGAGCCAGAAGTTCCCTTAGGATGGAGAACTCAGTCCAGAAGGCTTTGGGAGGATGCCGGGACCGGGGTGGGATCTGCTTGGAGGGGCTGCTGCAGGGCTGGGGAACCAGCTCTGGGGCCCGCTGGGGCAGCTTCCTCTGGGGCAGGCAGTAGGTGTGCATGTAGCGAATGAGCTGTACCATGGACCTCACATCCTCCTGGGGAGCCTGAGCACAGCTGGGACTGGCCCTGTCCTGTGCTAGGGAGTCTTGGGGAGAGGCTGGAGCTGGCCAGGGGCTGGGGCAATCCTCCCCCACCTCCTCATCCTCCTTGGTGAGGAGCTGAGGACTCGGGCGTGGGGTCGGGGTGCAGGCTTTCACTTGGGGGCAGGGCAGCACCGAGGTGAGGTGCTTATGCAGTTCTGTACAAGGCCGACTCTGAGACCGCAGCATGGGGGTCTTCTTGTCCTGGGTGCCATCCACCTGGAGAAGGAAATATGCCAGAGTGAGCAGGGAGGGGCACAATGCTTCTCCCTCTGCCTGTTCGGGTAGCCAGCAGACCCAGCGTCTTTTCCCAGGACTGTGGGAATAGCCTGTTCCTTCACTTGGTCCCCAGCCTCCAGCAGGGCTGGGACCTGGCAAACTGAGTTGCTGAGGAAGAAAGAGATAGCCAGACTTCTACAGGGTTCCCAGCCTTGGGGCCTCTGCAGATCCTTCAAAAAATAGGGCCAGTACGGGTATGAGTGTCACCTTTTGTGTGCAAAGCTCTCAAGTGGCCAGTGGCTCCTCAGAAAAGAAATCCTAAAACCTTAATATGACAGGGACTATGGCCTCCACAACCAGTGAGGATCCTGTTCCCATCTGTCCCGGGGCCACACCTTCCTGTCCCTGCTCTAATGTGTGTCAAGATCTGTGTCAATTTATCTCACAGGCTGAAGCATTCGAGTGTGGGAAAGTACAGGGCTCTTTCCAGAGCCTCAAACTACGCTGCTTTCAAGGATTCTGGCTCAACCAGGGCTGTGTGAGGACAGAGGGAGAAACTGAGGTAGACTGAATCTGCCACTCCTAGTCACCGCTGACAGCCACCTGGGAACCCAGGTCACTTCTGGGCATATGCAGAAATACCTTGACACAAGGCCGCTGACTTCTGGACCTGAGGCTGGCCTGGGACCAGGTGGCCCCCTCCTTCAGAGCGTCAGAGCTTGCTGCTGGGGAGGATGTGGCCAGGAGGAGCTTCTGCAGCTGGGAAGAGGGGAAGAGGGGGAAGAGACTAGGCCCAACACACTCAGAGACACAGGGCACCACATGTCAGCTGACCACGCCCTGGCCAAGGCCAGAGACCCCAAGGGGACCAGGTAACGCAGAAAACCAATTGCTGTCTACCGAACTCCCAAACACCATTACCCCACGGATAGCGCAGTCAGTGATTCAAGAGAACAAGCCTGGGTGATGCCTGCTCATCCTACCATTAGGACAGTGTCAGTTCATGCTGCATGTGCCTGTAATAGACACACATGTATGCACACATAGACATGCAGGAGAGGTGAGATATCATAATGATGCTCTATATAGGATTCCAGTTGACTTCCCCTTTGTCTGTGACATTTATCAATGCATTTCTTCAATTAAATATACAGTACTCACAAATGTTAACCTATGTGTGTGCCTGTGTGTGTGTGTGTGTGTGTGTGTGTGTGTGTGTGTG